TTGCAAGGTAGTGGTTCAAACCCACCAGCCTCTCCTTGGAAACCCTTTACAGGGTCACTATGAATCAGAACCAACTGTACGGCACTTAACAATAACAAAGGAGATGGAAACCAAAGGGGAAAAAAAAAGATAACTGGGAATTCCACCAGAGTCTAAGCATTGGGTTAATAGAACACATACCAATTACAGTTTAAAGATCAAGACAGGGGAAGTGGTCAGATGACGGACATGTGTCCTCACTCACCTGTGGAGATGCCCCTTGAGCCCTCTCCATCCAGAGCTCCCTGAGGAGCCAAGCTCCAGGGTGCTTCTCCTCGCTCCAGCTGGGAAATCAGAGCTGGTTTGGGAAATGAAAATGCTGCTTGAAGTGAAAGAAATGGAATAAGCACGTGAGTAGAGTCACACAGAGCAATCCTCCTAGATCCCTGTCTTCTGGGGCAGGAGGGGAAAGAAGGAAAATAACTAGAGAGAGCACGACAGGATGAGGGGCAGGAGACCCTCAGGGAGGGCCAGGAGGCTTACAAAGGTCTAGAAGTAGACAGAATAAGTCAGAGGAGCTCAGTAACAGTTTGAATGAACAAATGGAAAACTTCACTCTGGAGGAACTGAGCTTTCTTGTCCTCTCTCTCTGTTAGACCTCTCAAGTTCAGACATCTATATGGGGGGGGGATGACCAATATTGGGCCAGGATCTCTTCTACGAAATTGTGGGGCAGGGATCTGAGAGTTCAGTGGAGTCCCAGGAATCTTCTCTTCCTACTGTACTCACATAAGAGAGGCTGGGTTGGGGAGGTTAGCATTTCTAGGAAGTCCTGAGTGAGGCCCAATGTGACACCCCAACTCCCCACTTCTCAGAAACCTCTGAGGTTGGGCCATTAAGTCAAGAGTCTGAAACTACTACGCAACTCAGGGTTATGAATGACTCTTGGACCTCTGAGGAGAAGGAGCTAGGAAACTCTGAGCCCAAAGGAAGAAACTCTTACCTAGGGAAGCCACAGCCCCATAATTTTCCAGCATCACATCCCTATACAGAGCCCTCTGGGCAGGGGCTAGGCTGCTCCATTCGTTCTCAGAGAAGTAGACCGCTACATCCTCAAAGGTAACTGGCTCCTGAAACGACAGGTATTTACTCTGGTAGCGTAGTGGTTACAAGTTCGAAACTACCAGTCATCCCATAGGAGAAAGATGAGGCTTTCTGCTCTCATAAAGATTTACAGCCACGGAAGCGCTATGCAGGGTCGCTATGAGTTGGAATCGACTCCATGGCACACCACCATCAAGACAACCCCAGGATCCAGGCCTGGAAGAAGGGGAAGACCGGGTAGGTACCAAGAGGTTCTGCAAGGAAAGCCTGCTTGGTTCCTGCATTCTGAGTATCTGCAGGTACTCTAAGCAGATTTCATCTCCTACTTACAGAAAAGATATAAAAGATCAATCATCAATTTTCTCATGTCTCATCATTTGTATTGCAGTAAACATTTTTTTTTTTACTAGTCTCTGCAAGAGTTCTCCTTTTTCATCTTTATGCTCAAAACTACCACCTGTGTTCTAGACCCCATCTTTTCTCCAGTGTCCTTCTTCAAAGGTTCCCAACCCTTGAGAGTAAGAACTACCATGTGTTGAGCCTGTGCCAAACACTTTACACTTTATGCTGTTTATGCCTCAAGGTCTCTGAAGAAAGTGCTATATTCATTTTATAGAAGAGGAAACTGAGGCTCCAATCAGCTTTCCCAAAGTCACAGAGCGACAAGCCTGCCTGACTCTGGCTTTTACCTACTAGGCCACACTCCCTTCTATTTTCACTCCAGACACCCTTTCATGCTCTCTCTGTAGGACCCTGCCTCTTTGCCCCCACCCCCCACCCCCAATCACTGCAACCAACCAGAGGCATTCAAGCTACCCTGGATACTGCACTCAACAGGATAAATCTTAGCTCTGACTTTACTGCACCCTCCACCCTCAACGCTCCACCTACCACATTCTGCCACACTTTCTTTCCTATGTTTCAGTTGTGATGTTCCCTCTTTGGGAACCTGAGCTATGCTTCATGTCTCTTTCCTTCCTGTCACCTGCTCTTCCAGTGTTAAATTAGACTTCCTCTAATTTCCTCTATTATACGGGTTCCTGGTGTAACGCTGTAGATCAGCAGTTCAAACCTACCAACGGATCCCTGGAAACCCTTGTTCAGGGTCCCTATGAGTCAGAACTGACTAGACAGTACTTAACAACAAAATAATGATTCAGGCTTTCTGTCTGCTTAGGGCTCTGGTAGCGTAGTGGTTACGAATCGGGCTGCGAACCACAAGGTCAGCAGTTCGAAACTACCAGTGGTTCCGCGGGAGAAAGATGAGGCGTTTTACTCCCGTGAAGATTTACACCCTCGGAAACCCTGTACAGGGTCGCTATGAGTCGGAACCGACTGTAAGGCACATAACAACAACAACAACAATTAGGAGGTGATGATTCTGGTTCATTACACTTCAAACCTTGCCCTGCGAAGTCCCAGCACTAGCACTCCAGAGCTCAAAGGCTGGCTAGCCTCTGCCTACCTAAAAAAGTCCAAATTCCTCTGCGCCACAGACAATAGCATTTACCATCAGGGACCCAGCTTCCAGGCACTGGCCCCACACTCACCCGGCGCGCCCGGGACGGCGCGGCTCGTCTGGGCAGCAGCTTGCGAGCAGAGCCAAGGTGGACCCCACATGCCAGGGCCGCGGACGCCATGGCCGGGGCAGCCCCCTGGGGAGGCGAGCGGCACCAGCCCCGGAACTGCGGGGCTCGGGAGGGGCGCTCCGGGCTGGGTCAACCTGGCACAAGGACCCAGACAACAGACGCACGCCCTGTCAGCCCCAGGTGCTCTATGCCCCAGAACTCGGCGTCCGGGATACTGAGGCCGCTGCACTCCGACTTCTCTAGGATGGCGGAGGGAGCAGCGTCTCTGTGGTCCTTCCCCTCCCCGCAGAGCAAGAGGGAGAGGAACGAAGTCTAAACCTCGCCTAGGCACTGGCGATCTCACCGTGGGCGCCTCATCAGCCGCGCTCCTCCCACGAACCACGCCTTCCTCTGGCAAATCGCTGCATCTAGCGGGGATGGATGCTGATACACAGCACCCCATATTTCACTTGACTGCGCCTGTTCGAGTTACCTGCCGCACTTTTGTAGGTTTTACATCTCCAGAAGGCAGATTACATCCTTGACATTCATTTTTGTGCCTCTAATGTCCGCCCGATGCCTGTCATCTCATGGGGCCCAATTTCTTAAGAGCCAAGAAATATCTGCTGAATAAAAGAATGAATAAATAAATGTTCAGCCTGTCAGTTTTTCAGTTGAAGTCAGGCCCAAAGGGAGGAAACGGCTTGCCTAACATTACAAAGCAACTCAGTAAGAAAACCTTTTAAACACAGTGGACAAGGCTCAGCTGCTGGGATTCTTTTAGCTCTCCAGATCCTTAGCACTATCAGATACCACGCCTGTGGAAAATCACAGAGCAAAGGAGACCTCAGATAGCTCCCTGGTTTGTTTTTAAGAGGATATTAAAGAAGCTTGTGATGGGCACCAGTTGTGAGTGCTGAGAAGGAGACAGTGACTCTTAACTACAGTGAAGGTCAGTAGGTAGGTTGAGCACACGTTTTCCATAACCTGCTTGGGAAAGGATTGGAAAAAATTGAACAGGGTTTCAAAACACTTATGAGGTTTTCGCTAATTGAAGAATGACCTTGAAAATGCTTGATTACCACGTCATGGTCCCACGTGCAATTACTTCTAGCCATAGCGTAGTGGTTATGAGTCGGGCTGCTAACCGCAAAGTACGCAGTTCGAAACTACCAGCTGTTCCGTGGGAGAAAGATGAGGCTTTCTGCTCCCGTAAAGATTTACAGACTTGGAAATCCTATATAGGGTCGCTGTGGGTCGGAACCAACTCGACGGCAAATAACAACAACAACATAGTCTTTAAGGAGCCCTGCTGACCGTGGATAGTGTTGGCCTGCTAACCATAAGGTCAGCAGTTCAAATCCACCAGCCGCTCCACGGGAGAAGCTGAGGCTTTCTGCTCTCATAAGATTTACAGCTTCTGAAACCTTATACAGAGTCGTTAGGCACTCCCACCAAATAAATGTTTTTTTCAGCGTTGGTAAGTGCAAAGTTATGGCTTCGTAAATCTCCTCTCATGTGCTGGAAGGATTCTAAGGTGATCTGCCAAAACTCAGAAACGTGCAGGATTCCCATGCACTATGACGGAGCGATTGCCCTACAATTCCGCTCTCCACCACAGACCTTTCACACATCCAGCAAAGAATTCTAAGCATAAACTACCACACAGCCCTCCAAATACTCCAATTGTACTAATACAGGTTTGGGCAAATCCATTCCATTTTATCTTAGGCAACATTGATGTTAACTCCCAATAGAGTGTTCAGATCCTCCTAGAGAACAGACTGCAGCCAGGCTCCCCATCCACACCAAACCAGTGAAACATGTCATGTATCCAGGTGTAGCAAGAGGCATTGGTAATGGAACACACTCACCTGAACTGGCCAACTGGAAATTCAGGGCAATGCTTCTTCATTACCACTCATGCTGACTGTTTAGAACAAACAGTAGTAGTTTGTGAAAAAAAACCTACAACAGTCCAATAATAACATGATGTGGCTATCAGGAATCATATCAGTGTCCAGATAGTCTTGTTCTTTTAGAGTGGAAACTATTTATTTCGGTTGTCAGTAGCAGTTGGAAGGTTACTGGGAGTTTAAAAATTGTTGGTCAGTGGTAAAGTTGAGGGTGGTGGTAGAAGTCCAGGATGAATTGGTGGCATGGCCGGCAGAAAACAGCTGAGAGAGAACAATGATCCCATCCTTCACGCTTAACTTTTCATTATGAGGCGTTCTTTCCTCACCAGGCTGCAGCGTTTCTCACCTTCCACAGCTACATGATCATCATGATAAAGTTCGGCAGCAATCACTTCACCTGTTTCCAATGCTTCCCATGTCTTACCCACACACATGTGCAAATTCAACCCTAATTAAGTCATGAGTTTCTTTCTTCCTTGTACCACCTTTTTTCTTTTTTTCTGTCTTTTTGTTGGTGTTGGCGTTGGAGTTTTGTAGTGGTGCTATAGGATAACCACTGGACTGCTAAGCACAAGGAAGATGGTTCAAGCCCACTAGCCGCTCCTTGGAAATGCTATACAGGGTAGCTGTAACTCAGAAATGACTTGACAGCACTTAAAAACATAACCTTATTATTAACTTGTACCACCCTGAGACATTTCCCACTCTCTGACATGTGGGTTCTTCCCAGGCCACCTTAGTATTTGTCATTTTATATTAATTATCATAGTATCTACAATTACCCAAATCTAGCAAGCCTAAGTGGGTTGTTAGTTGTTGTTATGTGCGACAAAATCAGATCCAACCCATGACCCCATGCACAACAGAATGAAACAGTGCCTGGTCCTACATCATCCTCACAATCACTGTTACATTTGAGCCCACTGTTGGTGCCACAGTAAAAATTCATCTCATTGAGGGGCTTCCTCTTTTCTGCTGACCCTCCACTTTACCAAGCATGAGGTCCTTCTCTGGGGACTGTTCCTACCTGATAACACGTATGAGAGATGAAGTATCACCATTCTGGCTTCGAAGGAGCATTCTGGCTGCACTTCTTCCATGAAAGATGTTTGTTCTTCAGGCAGTCCATGGTATTTTTAAAACATTTTATTGTGAATTGAGTTAAGGTTTACAGACATCATCACTTTTACATTCAACAAATCACACACTTTGTCTCATCTCAATGACTGCAATCCTCTCCATGAAACAACAGTTATACTGCTTCCTCCCTATGGTTCCTATTTCTATTCCACCCGCCTTCCCATCCATTCTCACCTTTGTCCTTAGGCACATGTTACCCCCTTTGATTTTAGTGAGTATACCTTATGGAATGGGTTTTCTGTCAACTTGATTAAGTCAGGATGTCCAGAAGTTTGACAATTAGAATGTGCTTATTGTCTTGGCAATTGAAAGCCTTTGCACCTGATCAACGGAATGGCATTGCAACTACCCCAAATGACACTGGGCTGGCTTGAGCTTCTGATCTCCCAGGAAGCTTGGGTCTTTGTTACACCTGGAGACCCTCCCTCCCCCCCCCAAAATTCCAGGTTTCAGGAAAATCTCCATATCTCTGCTCAAATCTCTATACCCCCACCCATTGTAAACTCGCCAGAACTATACCCAGACCACACGGACTATAAATACCCCAGTCTGTAAGGTAACAGACGGGCTCTTGGTCTCCTTTGGTGACTTAAGGGTACCCCCTCCCAGGTTTACTCTCAATAAACCTGCCTGCTGTTGAAGCCAAGACTCTCTCCTTCGTCTCTTTCTTTTCCTTACAGCAATGAAACCTAATACAGGCATAGTTAGCTCTATGATGAATGGCATGAGCAGCCAGTCAATCAAAGGGATGCTTCCTTAGGGGTGTGGGCTGCTCTCAATATAGCAAACACATGGGACAAGCTGGCTCTGTCTTCCACTGGGGACCTGGGGCTCTGTAATTGAAGCCATTTCCTTGATGATAAACTTATCTCTATATGTCTATATAAGTTGCACTGGTTTTGCTTCTCTAGAAAACCTAGCCTGACACCTTACTCATGTTGTTCCCCCATTTACTATCTACTGCTTGGCTGAAAATTGGGCCACAAGGCTGAGTTCCTTTCCAGACCTGAAGAGTAGTTGAGTGCTATAGTCTCAGGTACCTCAAGTCTCCCTCTGACCAGTAAGCCCAGTTTTTTGTTGTTGTGGTTGGTTTTTGTTTTTAGGAATTTTGAGTTTTGTTAAACATATTCTGCCACTCTATTGGGGCCTTCAAATGTTATTCCTTTCAGAGCAGTTGGTAGTGGTATCTGGGCACCATCTAATTTTCCTGGTCTCAGAGTTATAGAGACTGATGTTCACACGTCCGTTAGTTCATTGAGCTAATTGATTCCAAGCATCTTCATTTCTCATCACACTTCTTCTGCACATGGAGAGATTAATAGCTGTGCCTTAGATGGCCACTCATGAGCTTTTAATATCTCAGACACTACTCACCTAAGTAGCATGTGGAACATTGTCTTTGTGTACTATGCCAAGTGACCATGGTGTCCCCTGAGATTATGGTCCTAAGCCTCCAGACTCAACTACTCACTGCCTTAAGATATTTGATATCTAGGAAGTTTTCATCATTTTGCTTGCTGTATGCTCTATCACATTTACAGTTGTGTTCACAGGAAAGGTAAATACTAATGTACCAATATCCTCTTTCAAATTCTTGTTTATCTGTGAGATATACATACATACATACAGATAGATAGATAGATAGATAGATAGATAGATAGATAGATAGATAGTTGTTGTTGTTGACAGATAGATAGATAGATAGATAGATAGATAGTTGTTGTTGTTGTTAAGTGCCGTAGAGTCGGTTCCGACTCATAGCGACCCTGCACAGGGTTTCCGAGGCTGTAAATCTTTAC